CGTCCATTCCGGTAGTACAATGGGCAGGGTTACACCTATGGCCCCTCCAGCTGTTCATTTTGAACATCGGGGACCGTCAGCAGACACTTTGACCCAGGGGTTACTTTGGAACTTCCCGGTGGTCAGGGAGATCACAATGGACGCGAGTGCCCAGGAGTGGGGAGCGCACCTGGGGGCTCTTGGTTTCAGGAGAGGAGGGAGTCCTCAAACTGGAAGGAACTCAGGGCAGTTTGGCAGGCCCTTCTTTCCTTCCAGGATTTGATTTAGGGCCGACACGTTCGCGTCCTTTCGGACAATTCAACCGTGGTAGCCTATGTGAACAGGCAGGGAGGAACGCGAAGCAGGTCCCTATGGGTCCTGACAGTGGTGCTGCTGTCATGGGCAGAGTCAAACCTAGCCTCCTTATCTGCCATCCACCTGAAGGGGGAGCTAAATCAGGTAGCCGATTTTCTCAGCAGGAGGCAGCTGAGAGAACCAGATTGGGTTCTCAATGTGGAGGTCTACCAAACCATCGTAAGGGAGTGGGGGTCTCCAGCCATAGATCTGTTTGCGTCGGGTCAAAACAACAAAGTCCCAGTGTTTTTATCGCTAAATCGGTGCTCAAGCAGTGGGATTTTCCCCTATGTTATGCCTTTCCCCCAGTCACCTTGCTGTCGGCAGTATTAAGAAAATTCAGAACTGAGCGGACTTCTCTGATTTTGATAGCTCCATATTGGCCCCGACGAGCGTGATTCTCGACGCTGGTGGCCTTAGCAAGTCGTTCGCCTTGGGTATTGCCGCATCGGAAGGACTTGCTATCACAGGGCCTGGTCCTGTGTCCCAGGGTAGACAAATGGAATTTGGCGGCGTGGTTTCTGAGGAACAGCTCTTGCTAGCTAAGGGACTCTCAGGTAGGGTTGTTGCCACGCTCCTAGATAGTAGAAAGAAAGAGACCCGGGCAATCTATTTTAAGGTCTGGAAGTGCTTAAGTAGTTGGTGTTCCCGGGCCTTGATGGACGTTTATAGCCTGGTGTCGGTCCTAGAATTTCTGCAGGCTGGGGCCGATAAGGGGTTAGCGGTCAATACTCTTAAGAGTCAAATATCGGCTCTAAGTGTGTTTTTTTTGAGTCCCCATTGGCTAAAGAGGCACTGGTGGTTAGGTTTTTTTAGGGCCTTGTCGAGGCAGAGACCGGCAGGGAATAGACCATTTCCAAAGTGGGATCTGTCAATGCTTAAGGTACTAACGGGGTCTGAGCCTTTAGTTTCCAGCTCCCTGACCTCACTTTCAAGACGGTTTTTTGGTAGAGATCACTACGGCAAGAAGAGTGAGTGAAATAGAAGCTCTGTCAATCAGAGCTCCTTTTTTTTCAATTTTTTTCAGACGGGGTTACATTCAGGACGGACCTGGCCTTTGTACCCAAAGTGGCCTCGAATTTTCATAAAGGTCAAGATATTATTTTGCCTTTGTTTTGCACTAATCCTTTGTGTGACCAGGAGGTAAATTTTCACACATTGGATGTGAGGAGGTGTGTGCTCCTTTATTTGGATAGGACGAAAGAGTTTCGTAAGTCAGATTCATTTTTTATTTCTTTTTCAGGGGTAAGGAAGGGACAGAAAGCTTCCAGACACACGTTAGCCAGGTGGTTAAGATGGCCAATCGGGCAGGCGTATCGGGCCGAGGGCATAGAGGTCCCAGAGGGCATCATGGCACATTCTACTTGTGCCATGGTGGTCACACAAGCTGAACGGGCAGGGGCTTTCCCGGGGCAGATATGTAGAGCTGCGACTTGGTCCAGTTATGGTACCTTTGTCAGACATTACAGACTTGACCTGGTCTCCGTGCAGGAGCAAGCCTTCGGACGTAAGGTTCTGCAAGCAGTGGTCCCGCCCTAGGGGTGATGCTCGCTTATCCTCTCAAGGTGCTGTCCTGAAAGATGAAAAGGGAAAAAGCAAAGTTACACTTACGGTAACATCTTTTCCAGTATTCTTTCAGGACAGCACCAGTTACCCACCCTCTATCTGTATGATGCTTAAGAGATACGTTTTATTGTGTTTTTTGGTGTCTTATGTTATGTCTCCCCAGGTGACCGGAGGTGCTTAACCGTGAACTGAGGTCGGAGGTGAGTGTCAGATGCTTTATTTTGGGTGGAGGTGTTTCCTCAGGTGGGGAGGAGCCGAGGTCTCCCAAGGTGCTGTCCTGAAAGACTACTGGAAAAGACGTTACCGTAAGTGTAACTTTGCTTTTTAGTGACAACTAAGAGGAGGTTACTTTAAATGTACACAAATAGCAAACCCCCCCCCCCAAAAAAAAAAAAAGTTATAATATGAGGAGTGGAATATATTTATTATCAATTCCCATACTCAATAAACATTTATTCCATCAGAAATTAGCCTAGCACCAATTTCATGCGAAATACTATTCTGTAGTAATGAGTCTGTTTACTAATTTGTAGTATAGAAAGTGGCCAGTAGGTGGCAGTATATGGCCCTTTTAGGTTTTAGGTTTTAATTTGAGTATTCGCCAGTGAGATAAAATTCAGCTGTCTCAGGCAAAGCATTCCATTATAGCTACAGATTCTATTATTTTATTTTCATTATATTCCATTTTATTACACATAACTTAATTTCTGAACTTATTTGTTTTGGTTTCTTTATATGTATGGATTTCATGGGTTGTTAGCGACATATGGTGAAAATTTCATGTCAATAGCACCTATGGAAATATATTTACATAGAAAAAAGAAAACATGTTCAATACTTATTTTACCCGCTGTATAATTATAGCCTAATCTTTGAACATCTTGTCCAGAAACACCCAATTCTGATAACACCCAAACCCTTACAATTTCTTGTAGCAAGATCCATCCACATAATTAGCCTACAGAAATCCAAGACGTTTAGTAGGTATACTGTGTGAAAAATTAGACCACATTTAAAGCATGATAGACTCATGCTTATGGGCAGCAATGTGTTAATGATGTCTGCTTCCAGAAATCCATTGTAATGATTTGCCCACAATTATGTACTTTTTGTTCTCCTAAAGTGTTCAAACTCTAAGTGCAAGCCTGTGCCATTAGCTGTAAGATATGCACTACTGTGGTGTGGTCCCTCTCTAGCATGTGGTTTTGGGGTGATTAGATATTTTCCAATATTTTCATTTATTACGCAGCTAAAGAGGTAGGTTTTCTCCAGAGCAGAGGAAAACCTGTCCTCCAATCAGCTAACATATGGAAGCAGGCAAAGAGTTACATAAGGAGGACACTTGGTCAGTGGCTGGCAGGAGGATGAACTGCTTTAGAAAGTAGGATGCAGGGGTGGACTGACAACTCATGGGGCCCCCGGGCAATAGGGGATCATAGGGCCCCTGTATCCTTGCCCAAACTCAAAAAAGCCTATGAAAAAGGTACCAGGGGAATCTCGTGGGGCCCCCTACTGACCCCAGGCCCTCAGGCAGTGCCCGAGTTTCCAAATGGTCAGTTCACCCCTGGTAGGATGTTGTCATAGCTAAGCAGTAGTGTGTGATCAGTGGTCATGGAAAATGCTCTATAGCAGCCATTTTTGATCAGTGGAACTCTAGGGTTCGTCCAGAGGTTGTTAGGGATTCACTGAGCTGTGGCTGATTGACCTTCCATTTGAAAATGTCTGTATAGTTCCAGGACCGAATCCACTTGGCAGAACCTGTGGCATGACCTAAATAATCTTTTTAGCTTTCTGTACTGTAGGTGTGGCATTCTGACTACCTCATTGCAGGTCATCCCTCCCACTGACCACCAACATAAGCACTTTTCCAACTGACCACCAATGAATTGGTTTGGAACAGGGGCCCCCAAAAACCAGAACATTATTTCAAAGGTCCCTCTAAGACAAAAAAAAGGTTGTAAAAGACTACCCCACGGAAGAAAAATATATTTGAAATATATTTTAAAAAATGTATTCTCAAATATATTGACATATATTTGAAATACTGCAATTTTGACCATATTACATATATATATATATATATATATATATATATATATATATATATATATATATATATATATACTGTATGTTGAAATGCGTTTTTATTACAAAATAATATATAATGTATATATACTGTATGTAGCTCAAGCTACCGTATTACCGCACATCCAGTGGTAACCATCTGATTTGGAATTTGATCCATATGATGACTGTCTTACAAATGTTTCACAAGATGTCATTCATGAACTTATGATGTCAGAGGATGAACATGATGATTTTGAAGGATTCTAAGTACCGGTAAGTCATAACCATTTCAATTAAAAAATCTGATGTTTTTAAATGGTGTTGCCTTGGAAGGGGGGTAGTCTTATACGGCGAGTATAGCCCAAAACCTATGTTTTAACTGGAATATTAGGGGGTCGTCTTATACACCCAGTCACCTTATACGCCAGAAAATACGGTATATATAAAAAATATTTTTTAAAATACATTTAATATACTGTATGTCTTTAAATATACAAATCTACATTTTTGGAATGCATTTACAAATATATGTAAAAATATATGTTAAAATGACTTTTTATGTTAAAAAAAAATCTGAAGAATATATTTAAAATATATATACCGTATTTGCCGGCGTATAAGACGACTTTTTGACCCTTGAAAATCTTCTCAAAAGTCGGGGGTCGTCTTATACGCCGGTACACATGTTAGGGGGGCTGCGGCATTAAGTACAGGGGTTTGCAGGGGCTGATGTCTCTTACCTGGATCCAGTCCCACGACGATCCGGTCCAGGAAGCGCGGCGTCTCCTTCAGTTCGGCCACTGGATGTTCGTGCGGCTGCTCGGCTCCGCCTCCTCACCGGTGATTGGCCGCCAGAACTGTAGCTCAGGAAAGGCACACAGGCGGCCAATCACCGGCGAGGGGGCGGAGCCGAGCGGCCCCGCGAAAATTGAGTGCCGGAGCAGCAGGTAAGTGTTCTGTGTAGAGGTGCTGCTGCAACCACATATGCTGGCTGCAGCAGCACCATACGAGAACAGGGTCAGCAAGTGTCAGTGGGAGGAATAGTGCCCCATCATTGGTGTCACTGATACCAATGATGGGGCACTATTCCTCCCACTGATACCAACGATGGGGCACTATTCCTCCCACTGACACCAACGATGGGGCACTATTCCTCCCCCCCACTGACACCAACGATGGGGCACTATTCCCCCCCCCACTGACACCAACGATGGGGCACTATTCCACCCCCCACTGACACCAACGATGGGGCACTATTCCACCCCTCACTGACACCAATGATGGGACACCATTCCTCCCACTGACATCAATGATGGGGCACTATTCCTCCCACTGACACCAATGATGGGGCACTATTCCTGCCACTGATACCAATGATGGGGCACCATTCCTGCCACTGATACCAATGATGGGGCACCTATTCCCCCCACTGATACCAATGATGGGGCAGCTATTCCCCCCACTGATACCAATGATGGGGCAGCTATTCCCCCCACTGATACCAATGATGGGGCACTATTCCTGCCACTGATACCAATGATGGGGCACTATTCCTCCCACTGACACCAATGATGGAGCACTATTCCTCCACTGATACTAATGATAGGGCACTATTCCTGCCACTAATGCCAATGATGGGGCACTATTCCTGCCACTAATACCAATGATGGGGCACTATTCCTGCCACTAATACCAATGATGGGGCACTATTCCTCCCACTGACATCAATGATGGGGCACTATTCCTCCCACTGATACCAATGATGGGGCACTATTCCTCCCACTGATACCAATGATGGGGCACTATTCCTTCCACTGATACCAATGATGGGGCACTATTCCTCCCACTGACACCAATGATGGGGCACTATTCCTCCCACTGACATCAATGATGGGGCACTATTCCTCCCACTGGTGTGCATTGGAAGAGGGGTAGTCTTATACGGCGAGTATAGCCCAAACACTACATTTTAGCAGGAAAAGTAGGGGGGTCGTCTTATACGCCCAGTCGTCTTATACGCCGGCAAATACGGTATTTTTAAAAAATATATTTTTTAAATATATTCTTCAGATTTTTTTTAACATATAAAAAAGTCATTTTAACATATATTTTCCCATATATTTGTAAGCGCATTCCAAAAAGGTAGATTTGTATTTTTAAAGACATACAGTATATTTGAAATTTATTTTTAAAAATATATTTCATATATTTTGTAATAAAAACGCATTTCAAAATACATATATATATTTATAAAAATACATTGAATATGGCCAAAATTGTAGTATTTCAAATATAAGTCAATATATTTGGGAAGAATATTTTTAACCACAAGCCTACAGGGCACTTGTACTGTCCCCCACTATAATGTACAGCGCTGAGCAAACCTTTTGGCACTATATAAATAATGTATAATAATTGAACAGTATTTAACCACTTGAAGTCCGGACACTTTTACCAACTTCCTGTCCAGGCCAATTTCCATCTTTCAGCGCTGTCGTACTTTGAATGACAATTGCGCAGTCATGCAACACTGTACCCATATGACATTTTTATCATTTTTTTGTGACAGATAGAGCTTTATTTTGGTAGTATTTAATCAACTCTGTGTTTATTTTTTCTTATACAAACAACCACTGAAAATTAAAAAAAAAAAACATTTTTTTCTTAGTTTTTGTTATAAAATTTTGTAAATAAGTGATTTTTCTCCTTCACTGATGTGCGCTAATGAGGCTGCAGTGATGGGCAGTGATAGGCTGCACTGATGGACACTGATAGGTGTCACTGATGAGGAGGCACTGGTAGGTGGCACTGATGTGCATTGACAGGCATCACTGATGGGCACTGAAAGTCAGCACTGATAGGTGGCACTGACTGGCACTGATAGGTGGCACTGACTGGCAGCACTGATAGCTGGCACTGATTGGCATTGATAGCGTGACCGCTCGAGAGGAGAGAAATGCCAATAACCGGCATTTCCCTGTTTACATGTGATCAGCTGTGATTGGACACAGCTGATCACATGACCGAGCCGACATCTTTGGCTCTTTCTGTGGATCGGTGATCCGCTGTGTCCAAGGGACACAGCGCACCGCCGATCGCCGCACGCTCCCTGAGCCACGCATGTGCGGTGAGAATGGGAACGTCATATGACATCCTCCCAGAACGAGAGAACCACCTTGCGCCCGTCATTGGACTATATGGTGGGCGGGAGGTGGTTAAAATATATTTAAAATATATTTTTCTTCCATATGGGACTCTACAGGGTAGACTATGAAAGCATTCTAGGAAGCTAGAATAAATGAATATTCTAGTCAACAGAATGAGTTTATATGCTCATAAATGTGTGTAATTACGTGTCAAAACAAGCATTATTTTAAGCTGGATCTTTCTGCCAGCTTCAAGAAATAAGACCCATGCACAAAGGAATATTTTAACGTGCCCGTGTGCATGAGGCCTAAAGTTGCATATAGACATTAGATGACAGTCACCTGATCGAACAATGTCTAATGACAGGCCAACCTTGGAGTAAAACCTCAATAGGACAAGTTCTCAAACCCCATTGCTATGCCCCCCCTTCCTTCCCTCCCTTCCCAAAATAATCACCATCAGAAGTGCTTTCTGGTACTTCTCTCCTTCTCCACTTCCCTCTCCTTTCTTGATATGCCCTCACAAATAACATTTCTACCATATGTCAAATGTCAGCTTTTCCGCAATCATTGCACATTTAAACTAAAAAAAAAACCTCACATCTACTGCTTCAAAATAGCATATATTTATTTATTTATCTATTTTCAAGGTTTTTATAAAAATATTTGAAAGTATGTTATCCACCAGGCTTTGAATAGTAGAATGCATATCATTCTCTATTGATCGTCTTTTCTGATATTGGTAATGTGACCTGGTCCATTACATTAAAGTGCAATCCTTTATTCTCTCTCTCTCTCTCTCTCTCTCTCTCTCTCTCAATTAATAATAATAATCATAATAATAAACTTTATTTTATATAGTGCCTTTAAAAGTAGCTTCTCATAACACTTTACAAAGACAAGAGACAAAAACACAAGAAATATACAGGGTACAACAAAAGAAAAAAGGACCACTTACATGAAAGCTTGTCTAAAAAAAGAGTTTAAATTTGATATGAATGTGTTTAGAGAAGATGGCTCTCTGATCATCTTTGAAAGTGAATTTCAGAGTTTTGGAGCATAGCAGGAGAAGGCTCTGTCTCCCATTGAGTGTAGGCAAGTAGGGGGGACACATACAGAAGACCAGAATTTGAGTAGGGAAAGTAATGAGGGGGGAGTAAGGTAAAGTGTTACTAAACACAGGACCCTGCATTCAATATATCAGGACTCCCACAGTAAATGGAAATGCAATTATTTTGGTAAATATAAACTGCTAAATACCTTTTCTAATCAGTTTATAGCAGTCTTGTGACTTCTATCATTGTCCAGCTAAGCACTGGTTAAAGCTTGTAGGAGGAGTTTTCATTCTTATCTGACTGTCCTATGAGGCTGCATACCTCCTGATACTCTGGACAGTGCTGATTGGCCCTGTGCTGATCACATGCACCCTCCCAAAGAAAAAAAACTCTCAAGCAATACATACCAAACTGAGCATGTGCAGAGTGACTCCTAGAGCTATGTACTATCAACAGATGAACTGGGGACAGAAGAAGAAGGGGAGGATTGGAGAAGACATGATCAAACGTTCTTTTCACACAATGCGGAGGATTAACCCCTTAGGTTCCACAGTGAGTATAACAAGCATGCTTTACTGCATATACAGGCTGATTTTACTGTTGTCGGTTTAGTAACACTTTAATAAAAGTTCAGAAAGATAATGGGGTGCCAAGCCATGAAGAGCCTTATAGGTGAGCAAGAGGATCTTAAAGTTCTATGAAAAACCTGACGAGTAGCCAGTGCAAGTACTCCAGGATAGGGTTCATATGATCACTTGTACGAGACCTAGTCAGGATTCTGGCTGCAGAATTTTGCACATCTTGTAGCCAATTAAAAGTGGATTTCAGTATACAATTAACCAAATAATCTTTTGACAAATGATGGCAACTGGTCTTTCCTTATTTAGCAACAAAATCACAAAAAATATGGTTATAGCCATACAGGATAATGACAGGTATGGGGAAAATGTGCACTATATTGAATTCACAAAGCTAAACAAATGTAAAACAGCAGCTGTGCTGCTCACAAAAATGGTTTTACAAGAGGAAGGAGAGATGTCAAAATCAGTGTCCAGGATATGAGACCGCTGAAATTGAAAGTTATTCTAGGACAGTGGAGGTGGTGGGGAGTGTCTCATCAGCACCATGGACCATAAAGGTGGTATGAAGGACACTGAAACTGAACCAGGAAGTGTGTGTTATTAGAACCAAATAAAAATTGGATTTTGTTCTACATACTTACCTGTAATCCATTTCTTGGAATACATCATGGGACACAGAGCAGGCTATTCATAACTATGTGGGTTATGGGCCAACTATAGGTGAATGGACACTGGCCTAGCAATCAAAGAGGAAGTCCTCTCCTATATAACCCCTCTTATACAGGAAGTACTTCAGTTTTTGTAGCAAGCAATGACATTCCAGAATTAGGGGTGGGACCTCTGTGTCCCATAATGTACTCCAAGAAATGGATTATACAGGTATGTAGAAATAAATCCAATTTTCTTTATTGTACATCACAGGATACAGAGCAGGCTATTCATGACTATGTGGGATGTCCCAAAGCAATAAGAAATTTGAGGGGAGGGTGAAAGGCAGAATCATTTGCAGCTCTGACATCCACCTGGTAGAACCTTGTGAATGTGTGAAACGAAGACCATGTAGTGGCCTTGCAAACCTGAGCCACTGACGCCTGATGGCGGATTGCCCAAGATGCCCCCACTCTCCTGGTGGAGTGTGACTTCACCCGAAAGGGTGGGACTTTACCTTTTAAACCATAGGCTTGAATGATCAGTTGGCAGATCCAGTGAGAAATAGTTACCTTGGATGCTGCCTTCCCATTCCTAGGCCCCTCTGGCAGCACAAATAGAGCATCTGATCTGTGCTGTCACCTTCAAGAAGACCCTTACAGCACGAACCACATCCAAGGTATGCAGAGATCTTTCTCTTGCTGACTGAGACCAAGGAAAGAATGAAGGCAGAACTATGTCCTGATTGAAATGAAAGCTAGAAACCACCTTTGGTAAAAAGCACGGATGAGGTCGCAACACCACCTTATCATGATGCAAAATCAGATATGGTTCTCTGCAAGTTAGAGCTGCCAGCTTCGATACCCTTCTCGCAGAAGTGATTGCCACTAGAAACAACACATTACGAATCAACAGAACCAGTGGAATCTCTCCAATAGGTTCAAATGGAGGCTTTTGCAAAACCTCCAAAACCAAGTTCAGGTCCCAAAGACACAAAGGCAACCTGAAAGGAGAAGCCATATGCATCACTCCTTGTAAAAACGTGCGGACCAAAGAGTGAGATGCAACGGGCCTCTGGAAAAAAAAATAGCTAATGCTGAAACCTGGCCCTTAATGGTACCAACAACCAATTTCTTCTCCAACCCTGTTTGAAGAAACAAAAGAATCTCCTACAAATCACATACTTTCGTGGGTGCAATTTCCTGACCTCACACCAGGAAATGTAAGCCTTCCAGGGTCTGTAATGAATGTTCCTAGAAACTTCCTTTCTAGCACCCAACATGATGGGGATGACAGAATCCGACACTACCCTATCCTTCAGAACCCATGTTTTAATAGCCACGCCACCAAATTTAGCGACCATAAAGCTCAGTGCAATTTAGGA